ATTTGTTTGGGATTCAAAGAATCGTGCGATATCTTCAAGTTCTATCCATGCCTTTCCCGCTGTTGGTATTCTTGTTTGATTTGTAGTCTTTTATGTTGAATCTGGACTAACTGTTGCTTTGGGTTCAACAGTTGACTATCCCCCTCCTTCGGGGGGGTTTGCGATAAGGACCATTTCCCCGCATCTCTTTGGGGTTAGAGCGGGCGAAATGGGTCAATACACGCATTCGTGACGCACTAACCACTTCGACTACTATTCTTATACAATCACACCCCGCCATCCCAAATCTAGGTGATCCGGATGCCTCGTTACCCCGTATGGATCTCCGTGAGTTCTAAATTTCTTTACATCAAAGCCTGGCCTGTGTACCGGATCATCCCGCTGTACCGGAGAGAGACTCTTTGGACTTTGACAGCTCGGGGGTAGTGGGGTGCAACTGAGGTACCTGCCCTTCGGGATTTTGAATATATAGAACACATGACCTCCCCGTCGGGTTTGTTTCCTCATCCCTTTCTGCCCACCTCTGCTCTCCCTCGCTGCAGCTTCGAGAATGACTGATTTGGAGAATAAATCGGGCGAACGGCCGCTCCACAAAGAGCAATCTGGAAGCACGGGGCCACACCTCAAACGTGCGCTCGGTGCGAGGCACTTGCAAATGTTGGCGATTGCCTCGAGCATCGGGACGGGTTTGTTCATTGGGAGTGGGAAAGCGTTGAGTACTGGTGGGCCATTGTCGCTGGTCCTCTCGTTCGCTTGGTTGGGCCTTGTTCTTACTACCATGATGCGTAAGTGCCCGCTTCTCAACCTCAGCTGTTATTCAGGGAGTGATATTAAGGGGTAGTTAGAATGTCTTTGCGAAATGACAACTATCTACCCGGCGAGCGGTTCCTTCGTCACTTACGCTGCCCGCTACATTGACCCGGCCTGGGGCTTCGTAATCGGGATCCTCTACTGGGCGTGCTGGATCGGGGCATTCGGAACGGAGGCCACCGCTGCACGGATCTTGGTCGGCTACTGGCTCCCCGTAGGGTGGAGCAATGATCCAGGTCATGCAGCAATTCTTATAACCGCCTTTAACGTTATTATGGTCATGATCCATGTTTGCCCCGTTCGCGTCTTTGGGGAAATTGAGTTTTGGGTTAGCAGCATTAAGGTGGTTAGCGTTTTGGTATTCCTTGTCGTGATTTGGGTTATTATGGGGGGTGGGGGACCGGAGGGAAGGGTTCATGACGGAGAGTATTGGGCAGAGGGAGCTATTGTCAACGGTTTCAAAGGTTGCAATGATATCATGAGCCCCTCACATCACCTCGCCCACCCGACTGAGAATGCTATGACTAACGGTGCAAGGAAGGCCTTTCGAGCGTATTCGTAACGGCAGCGTTCGCATGCGGCGGAACAGAGGTTGCGGGTGTTGCGGGCGGCGAGACCAAGGATCCTATGATTGCCATGCCCCGCGCCGTCCGCACACTGATGTTCCGCACCGTCTTTTTCTACGTTGTCACACTCCTCTTCCTGACCTTTGTCGTGTCGGCGAGAAATCCGGCTTTGCTGGGATCCGAATCCGGCAGCGCGGTCGAGGCTAGCCCTTTCGTTATTGCCATCAAGGAGGCCGGAATTGGGGTACTTCCCGATGTGTTGAACGCCATTGTCCTGCTGTGCGTTTCCAGCGTTGGCAGTGTGAGCATCTACACCGGGTCCAGGGTTCTCTACAACATGACCGATATAGGCCTTATCTCTTCCCGCTGGGGATTCGGAAGGGTGGACGAACGTGGTAGGCCGTATGCAATCCCCTCATCTTAAGTGTTACGGGTGAGAGTGCAAGAGTGATAACCGATGATTGCAGAGTCCGAGCTATCTTGGCGACCACCTTCGTCGCTGTCGGCCTATCCTACATGAACTGTTCCGCCTCCGCCGCCACGGCATTCACCTGGTTCACTTCTCTCTCTGGGATAGCATTCCTCACCTGCTGGCCCACGATTATCGCCAGCAACTGGCGTTGGCGTGCCGGGATCAAGGCCCAGGGACTAGACCTCCTCGACCTCAAGTACACCTACAAGGCCTCACTCAGGCCCTGGCTCCCAGCCTTCGGTTTCGTTTCCTTACTCTTCATGCTCGTTTGCCACATCTATGTTAGCGCCTCACCAGTCACGGGACGTGCGAATGCTGGGCACTGGTTCCAGAGTTGCATCGGGATCCCGCTTATGGTGGTTTTGTTCGCCGGGTACAAGATGGTTTTCAGAACAAAGTTTGTTACTGCTGTGAGTGCGGATATATATGTGGCCCTTGGGCGGGGGCGACATGACTCGAGGCTAATGGGATATATAGGATGAAATGGACCTCCAAACGGATAAAACGCACGACTCGGACATTACGGATCAGTCGGAGAAGTTGGATGCGTATTATGGGCAGAGTCGTAAGGCTAGGGTGCTGTCTTATGTTAGATTTTAGCTTGGAAAGCTAGGGAGAAGCTGTTGTGTATTATACTGTGTGCTCTGGATGAATAGATGAATAGATTCGATCTTTTTCCTTTCCCGACGTGACACCACTTGCTTACTTTGCGACAACCCTTCTCGCCAATAACACTCTATATTCAATAATATTATAATAGTATCATCATACTTGTACCTTTCCGAAAAGGAAAAAAGAAAAAAAGACCAAAACAAACCATCAAACAACCCTATCACACAGATCACATACTGATCACATACTAGCTCCCCCCCCCCCCCAGAAACCGGCTCTCGGTGCCTAACCAACGTAGCATAATCCACCCTCCCAACCGGCAACAACACCATCTCCTCCTCCCCTTCCCACAAACTCCTCCCGAGTCCGCGGCCGCTCTCACCTCGCACACGCACACGATCCACCGCCCGACCAGCCGATGACGACGACGGTATCCACCGCTCAGCCAGCACAGCGATACAAACGCGGGAGCACACGCTCACCACACGGAGCGACAAAATGAGGGTGGAGAGGAGGGCGGTTATGAGTGCTAGACTGCAGAATGCCGGAAGGAGGGCTAGGAGGGTTAGGAGGGCTAGGAGGTGAGTGTGGGGTTGCATTTTGTGGGTCGAGTTCTGGTTGTGAGAGGCTGATCTTGAAATTCACTTGTGTGGAGGTGTAGCGGTGGTGTATGATACTGTACTGTACAAGTACAGTACTGTCGTTGTATTATAATTATAGACTTGCTCTCGGAGGTTACTGTAAGTCACTAGCATTGTGAGTGCAACTACCGTATTATATTAACTTACTGTTATTGCGGGAAAGAAAAAAACTTGCAGGGATCATTTCAGGCACCCTGCCTGGGTCAAATAAGCTACCGTAAGCTAATCTATTTCTACGCAGGGTCCCACACCCGTCCCGTGTTATCGCCGAATCCATGTGTGAAGACTTCATCCCGGTATCTACAGTATTAGTACTCGTACTATACTCACTCATTCGTGGGCGGTCAAAGTAAGGAAGGAAGGAAGGGCAAGGGTGTGTTCGCCGATCGGCTTTCGATGGGGAAGTTGGTTGGTCGGTGGATGGATGGAGAGATATAGCGGCGCAGTATAGTATCATAGCAGTAAGTCTACCGGGGGTGAGTATGATACTCGGGTAGAGTGCCCGCGTTGTTGACGGCGGCGGAGTTGGTTTGGTTATGTTTTCGTTGCGAAGGAGCGCTAGTGGTGGTGGGGAGACCGAGCGCCCCTCGTGCTTGTGTGCGGGAAGGGCGTTTGTTTGGCATTGTACAGGGCGGCTTGGCTGATGGGGTTTTAACTGGACGGGCACGGGTAGTTTCTGCGTAGGGCCAGAGTCCCGGTAAGGTAAAAGTGAAATTCAGGCCAAGCTTGCCTACAGGGCGGTGATACTCACAGTACCCCGGTGGTGCGTAGCGGGACCGCCAAGAGCTTGTATGGATGAGCTTTTGGAGTTATTGCTATGATACTGTGGGATTTTGGCATGTACAGCACTTTCCCAGACGTCGTTGTGGTGTGTGCTCTTCGCTCGTAGACTACAGGTCGTGGTTTATCGCACCTTGGCCATTACCGTAGCTGAAAGGCTAACCATACCCCAACCCCCCCACAATCCCGCCAGTCTATGATATCAGAAATTTAGATGTTTATACCAACACATACACAAAATCTGCCCGTGAAACGGAAGAAAAAGGGAAAAGGGAAAGAAAAGAAAAAAGAACCCCGCATTGCAGTACCGTACACCAAAATCCCAGATCATTTCGGCCAACCCTCTCTATATATAACCTATGCCACCTGCCTTCTCAAATTCTCCCTCTTCTCCACATCCTCCATCTCCTTCAGCACTAGGCCATTAAACTCCCTCCACCCGTCCAGATAGAGATGATGCCCCGCATTCCTCACCACGAGAACCTTGGCTTCGCCGCCCTTGCCCTCCTTTCCCGCACGCCATTCCTCACCGCCAACCCAACTGGGCCCTTCCTCTACCGGGGTGTTCTGAATCTTCTCCTGCGCCGCATATCCACCGGCAATATCCATCCAGTCCATCTCGCCGTACATCCAAACACTCGGGATGCCGAACCTGTTGACCTTTGCCAGGTCCTGGACGCGCCAGAGGAGGGGCCGTCGGGCGTACGCTCCGGGCGCTAAAATGTAGGCAAGGGCGTATTCTCCGGATCCGCGCTGGCGGAAGAGCGAGTATGCGTAGTCATGCAGGGCGCGAGATTCCTCTGGGGGAAGTTGGTTAAATCGACGAGATGTCCAACCGCTAACCAGTCGAGGACCAAGGGGCCCCGACCAACGCACTAACGAGAAGGGGGAAATGTTCGCCTCCCAAAGGCATACTAGCCATTTCGGGAGTGGCCTCCTCGGTGTCGGTGCGTTGACATTCTTGTCTCCTAACGAGGTGGTCGATGCGGACGCTGACGCGGGCGCTGAGGGGGATGAGTATGAATCCGTGGGAACTTTGCTCGAATCGGGGAGGTTCGGGTTGCTTTGGGTTGCCTCCCCCTGGGTTTGCACGAACTCTTGACCAAGGGCACCCCCATCCCCTCCGGCGCCCTCATCCGGGAGATCTCCGCGGACGGCATAAGGATCTTCCGGAACACCCACGGGGGAGGCCAGGATAAGCTTGTTCACCCGGTTCTGGTACTTGAGGGCGTAGCGCATCGCAAGATAGCCACCAAAACTGTGCCCCATAAGAGTGAATCGTTCAATCCCCCGGACCTCCCGCCATTCCTCCAGAGCATCAATAAACCATTCCTCCGCCTCTGTAATTTTTCCCTCGGAATCCTTAGACTTAATGGTGAAAGGAGGTCGGGAGGAACGGCCATAGCCGAGCAGATCTAGTGACCAGAGCTTCCATCCAGGCCTTCGGGAGAGCTGGTCATAGTTTTTGTAAAAAAAACCAAGGCCCGCGCCATAGCCATGGAGCATCACTAGATGATTCTCGGGTGACCCCTCCGCAGTACGGGTTATACTAAACTCGTTGATGATACGATTCTTCCCCGAGAGCGGGACCAAATTCGAAGCGCATTCTCGTGGACCGTGTCGATCCGCTGAGGGTGGGTCGGCAGTGGTTTCCGCGCCGCCCTCTTGCGTGGATGTTGCAGGAGCTGGTTTTTTGTTGAACGGTAGGAATCCGAGAACCGCAGATTCCGCAACTGTGGGAGATACCGCTGTCCACTACCCATCATCAGAAGGGGTTAAAAAGAAGCCACCACTGGCAGTCGGGAGAGTTTGTGATACCCATTGAGTGAATCCTTCCTTATACCCTAGCGGGAACAAGTTATTCGGAAACTTCATGGTCCTTTTCTCCGGAGCCGTTCCCTGAGTTTCGGAACCTCGCTCCGAAGCCAACGGGCTCTGTTGGGTCCTCGATTGGAACTCTCCATCGGACGGTCTGGGCGCCATCAGACGTTGACGCCTCGTTTGGCAAAGGAGCGAGGATGCAGAGCTATCCGGCTCGAGGGTATATGGATGGGCAAGGACAAGGGGAAACAGAAGTCGAGAGCGAGCAGGGAGGGAAGTGAGTGGGGTCGGGGTACTGGTTGACAGGTGTCGAGGGAGGTGGGAGTAGAGTATTATATGTATCCACTGGAGCTTTGGCGCCGGTGAGGTTTGGTCTGCAGTAAGGGGCAGGAGGGGATGACGCGCGGAAACGAGGCGAGAGACTACTAGGGGACGCGCGGCATGCAGTGAAGGGCTGTGAAAGTGGAGAGAATGGGATCCCAGTTGGCGGTGCGGTGTATGATGGAGAGTTATATAGTATCATACCGGTACTCGAGTACATATTATTATGATACGACAGCAAAGGGTTGCCGGGGCAAAGTGGCAGGCGGGTACGGGATCACTATTTGCCCGTCTTCCCCCCGAATCTCCTCCCGAATCCCCCTTATCTCCGCTCAGGGGACCTTGTCACATGATTCAGTAAGCTTAAGTAAGCTTAAAATATGATGCCACAGCATACCATCGTCGAGCGCACACAGCAAACCGTGATACTCTCTCTCCCTCTCTCCCTCTCCCACCACCATCGTGGAGACTTCATTTATTTGGCCCCCTTTAAACGTCTACAAAAAAAGGTCTACAAAAGTAATAGGAGCAGTTAACTAACCTATTACACTTCGTTTTTTTTTCTCTTTTTTTTTCTTTTCTTTTCTTCTTTCCCTTTCCCATTCCCATGATTCCTGGTGCCCAGATTCACTTGTTTGAGTTGAAGCACTGTCTATGGTGGCCGAAAACTGCTGGTAAAAGTGGATCACACTGAATGGTGTAGTATGGTGCGGCACCGAAAGTGCACCGTACTTGTACTGTACTGTACTGTACTCGTACCGGTATTGTATCTCTTCAAGCTATGATATGATGTCGGTACCTCGCCCATGTGAGACAACTTTTCCTGTTGTGTGAGCCCTTGTGTTTGTTCTATCACCGGTGCCTTCAACTCGGTGCCCATACAAGTCTTGAGAACCATTCCTCAACATACCCCCGAAAAGAAAAAAAAGAAAAAAGAAATTCCCCTGCAAAGAACATTCTCCCGCCAATCTTCCCCATCACCCAATCTTCCAATTGTTGGATGCCGCTCAGCTGAGCCTCACCCTGGAGTTTTCTCCCTTTCTCTATCCCTTTCCTGCTTCGTTGATCTCCGTCCCCCCTCCCCCCCTCTCTCTCGCTTGCCGTGCCCGTTCAGCTCCATGCTGTCCCCCGTGAATCGGTAACCCCCCCAGCCCGGCCCCGAACATCGTCCTCTGCTGCCAATGACGTCCCGTGGAACCGACAACCCCGAGTTTGACCTTGCTGTCAAGGGTTCTCTGCCCTCTACCTCATCGTCAGCTCTGCTTCAGCCATCGGTCTCATCTCAACTCTCCTCGCTTCCTCCTTCTGCACCGCATCCGCGGCCCCCCTTACCCCCGCCCAATCCGCTCGACTCCGCCCCGTGTTCACCCCCACAGGTTTACCTCAATCTTCTCATATTGGAAGCTTCCCTCCGGAGTCAGTACCTGCATCACCTCGCTCGACGTCGGAAATCTACCCTCTTTCTCCTGTTGCTGTCTTTGTGGCTGGGCTTCTTTTTCTACCGACTATTCCTCCTCGCCCGCTCTCCTTATTATTACCTGTCCCTTCTTGAGAGGATCGGCTTCGGTGGGGGTGTCGTGACAGCATTTCTCTACTACGCTACAGGTTTATACCACAGGTCCATTGTCGAGCCACGCCGATTCGTTTACTTGGCCAATCGGGGTCTTCGTGGATTCAATGTCAAGTTGGTGAAGATCCCCTTGTCCTACAAGGAATGGCTACTTTGGTGGTGGGAGTGGTACACATTTAGTCCCCCTCCGGCTTCGCCTCAATTGCCGCCTGCTCGACGTACCTCAACTGCCAAGAGAAGGACATCCTCAGTTCACGCGAGGCGGCCTGCACCTCCGATACATGCCCACGGTCACACGCCCTCCATATCTGCTGCAATGGCCGGCGGGAGAAGCTCTTCGTTGTTGACTCCGCATCCGGAGGAAGCCATGGCGGATGGTGACGACAACGATGGGGTGGAAGAATATCTACCCGGAGGTCTTCATCTAAAGATTGTCATCTTGCCTAAAAAATTTACGCCCGACTTTCGTGAGGGATGGGAAATATACAGGGCAGAGTATTGGGAGCGCGAGAATGAGATCCGGGCGAACCACCGCAAAGAGCTTTATCGTCGGCATAAAAACAAGTCGAGATCGGGCACACCCCCGCCTCCACCCCCTCAACTCGATCCCGCCGCGACCTCTGCAAGAGCAAGAGGGAATTCGGCGTCTCGCCCGCCCTCGCTATCTTCTCGTGCGGGAACACCCGAGCCCGATTCTGCGGCAGCACCGACAAGACAACGAAAGGGTAGTCTGGTAGCGAAGAGGAGGCCCAACCTGGCACCGGGACTGCGGTCTGCAGGCGCAGCTTCGGGTGAAATATCGGACTCCGGATCCACGACTAGTGCTCTGGAGGAAACCGGACGAAGGCGTAGCGAAAGTCCAGTCACGGATAGAAGTAGCTCCTCCACCGCAGGATCAGCCAAGAAAAGGGCAAGTGGAAGGGGACGAGGAAGGGGGAGGAAAAGCTGATTAGATGTGGGTCTTTACTTTTTTTCTTCTGTTTTTGGTTGTTTCTCACTTTCGAAATATCACATATCATGGTGCCGGCCGTAGGGGATGGCATATGTTGGCTTTGTTTCTTTTTTCCCTGTTTTCGTGTCTTTTTTTTTTTTTTTTTTTTTGCTTTTTCATGCTTTAGAACGTGGATGGGACAGACTCGGGTTGATTGTTCGAGTGACAGGACATGCATCGGGCGACGTGTAATGGTACTAGGTAGTATGATAACGAAATATTCATTCAACACCGCTCCGACTTCTCGACACCCCCCCCGGTAGTGCTGAAAGGCTCCCCATTGTGTGTTGGCGTCATTATTCATCACAAAGGACGTATCGTATGTCGTGCGCTGGTCGCGGGTTCTGTGGGAGGCTTCGGAGGTGGCGGTAGCGCACCCGTACGTAAATCCTTCAAATGCTGCATCTGGGTGATCTTGCGCAAATCGTCCCCCCCCCTTATGTTTACATTTGTCTCACCTCACAACCAAGTGGCAAAAAAATTATCCACAAATTGAGGAAGTTTCCCATAATGGGCACGGTGCGGGACGTGCCGGTTCTCCGCTACCGCTTAAAAACATTCGCCTCGGCTCCCCCCGTAAACGATCTCCACCCCTCTTTCACTACCCCTCATGGCGCTGGTTTGTAGCGATTAGCCCTCCCCCCGTTGGTTTTCCCTGGCCCTCGACCACCGCTCTTCGGCTCCTTAACGCGTCTTTTCTAGAGGTTGGGTGGTCGGGTGGACGCACTCTTGGTCTACCGACCCCTCAGCATGATCACTGAGCCTGCTGAAGCTGAGGAGCACTATTTTGGGGAGTGGGGCTCCTGTTCCGCGCATAAAATTTGGCCTACCAGACCTGGGCTTTTTCCCACTCGATCACGTCCGCATTTTGACTACGGGCGACACATCTCTCCAAAATTGCTTCCCAATGCTATTTCTGTCAGCGGCGGCGGGGGAGTTCGGCAAACGGACATCCGCGGTTTCCTTCACACATTCTACTGTTCTCGATCGCCAGGAAGAGCCTTAGGCATAGGGGCTGCAGCGGGTCCTCCGTCACGCCCTTAAAAAGGACGGGGAAGAGTGAGAGGGGGAAGAAGGGGGGGGAATTGCGAACCCTTCCGCCGTCCCTCTTATTTGAGTCTAAAGCCTCTTGTCTTTTATTAGATAATTCTCAATAATTTGGCCGGAGGTTGTTGGTCTTACGCTACCACAACGAAAGGGCGTTAAACTTCCCCTTTTCTCCCCTCCTCTAATCACCCTTGCGGTCTTGTTTTCTTTCAATGGCGAGTCGCAAGACGGTGAGCTCGAAATTCCATACTGTAGGGATATACCTGCCAGACATGTTTGTCCGTTTGAGGCGACGTGTTTTTTGGTCTGGACACAGGGCATCACTTCGGGCCTCAAGAGAGGAGGGAGCTGGGGGCCTATGGTATTGAAGAACTGGCTCGTTTTTGGAGCTTACTTACAGCTACCTGCAAACAGCCCTTCGTGGTCTCGTTTGCGGTCGGGTACTTTCGGCGTTGGCGGTGAATTGAGTCTTTCCACGTTACGACTACGCACAAGTAAGATTAGCGGGGTCGTCTCTAACGGGTCGCGATTCAGGGGGCTATACTGTACCGATGCCTATCCTATCCCATCACGCTCAATTGGGCGCTCGATTGTTTCAATCCCGATGTCCGGGATTCCGCGAACTGCTTACCGGTACCGTACCGCATTTCGAAGAAATTGGACTACGGAATTTAGCACCGGCGTGATCGCTAGCGGTCATTCGTGGGGGTCTATCGTGTCACGGTGTGGATCCGCGACATGGGATGGAAGGAATGTTTAGGCGAAGCATCCTTGTTGGAACATGTGATGCCAAATGAATCACGGAGTGACAGTACGTGATTGGGACGGGATTCTCGTGGGCGCGTGCACATGGGAGGTACCATACGGCTCTATAACAAGCTTTCTTTCACGGGCTATGTCGGGTTTTTGGAGTTGGAGGTGGTTTTGCTTGAGCGTCGGGTTTTGACGATTCTCTGTGTTAAACACGATCTCTCATTCATTACCCCCCTCCAACCCCTGTTTTCCGCGCACAATGTTTGTATTTTACGCCATTAAGAAGTTTAGAGTGATGATGCTCCGATGTGAAAATTTTATATCTATCATGCATACAATTACGATATAATACCATCCGGCCATTCTCTCCCAGTCCCTGCTGTACGGACTCCCAATGTCTAAAAACAAGCAAAACATATACCAAACCTCCTCCGCCATCTAAACCCCACCTTCCCACCCCCCCGAACATTCCTCCGCACTGCCTGTGTCTCGGCACCTTCCGATCGTGCCGGGCCCATCGTGGGCACTGCGTTCGCGGCGGCTCAGTTTAAATGAGAGCGCACAGCGCTGTGCGCAATGTAGACGCAGCGGACTGGTGGGGTTTTTGGTGGAGTAGTGTTCGAGGTGGTACTTGGTGGTTTGTGGC